AGAGTGATAATTGTTTCTATAAAACCCAAAAATATTTAATGAGAATATGATATATAATTAGAAATTTGGTTAAATTCCAATTTTATAAAAACACATTCAGATTCTACTACCACGGCTTGTAAATTGTAATGAAGTTACGAGCCCTACTGATGACATGCCCATATTCTATATGCGTTACACCACTTGCCATTTTCTCATTAATGTGGATTTTGATGTAATAAAGAAGAAACATGATCAAAACACACACACATGACACATGCATATAATCTTAATAAATGAGCTCTATAATATGAAGAAAAAAAAAGGGTGTTTTGCATGATTTAACTCATACGTCAGCACAGCATCATCAGACGGTCCAAATATGATATGAGTGGAGAATCATAAATATAAGACTTTTTCTTCTTCTTTTTTTTTTTTACTGGTGCAAGATGCAATCTCAACGGCAATACACACACAAGAGCGAATCTTTTTTTTTCTTTGGGGGGATCATGTAGAAAAAGCAATGATAACGATTTAGATCCACTTAGAACATGTTTGCGGTATTTGGTTTCATCCAATCTTGGATAGTTAAACCGTTGAAACGAGATCCATATATAACATCTTTTATATGAATTTGAATTTGAAATTCGGAGATGAGACTATATTTTAGATCACAAGAATACTAGTTCATGATATTCAGTTATCTAAAAAAAAAAACATGTTTTTGGTTTAGGGTTTGTCCAATTGATTTGTTTGAAGTTGGTAGATGTAAAAAAGAAGATGAATAAAATGTGATGTGATATAAAAAAGAAAAGGTAAGATGGGGTTTGGTCTAAAGGCAACATTATTATATAAAAACCGTCCATGCCTAAACCTTAGATAATGACGTTTATACACGTAAGGGAAGACCGTTCTCTATCCATTTCATGCTCTCTTTTTTTTATGTTTGTAGAATTTCGTAAGAAACCCTAAAAGAAATGAACCCAAAAAAAAAAAAAAGAGAATCATATTACGAGTTACGTCACGTACAAGCAAAGTTCCGAGTAACGACAGTGACCGGTGATTAACAACAAAGCCAACATTCGGTTCACAAGAAATATCTTGAACCAGAACTGAGTTCCTTAATTATTTTTTTAGAAACTATTTTCGTCACACGTGTTTTGTTTTGGATCCTTTTTGTCTAAATGGGCTGGGCTTATTATAAAATGGTGGGGACTTTTCTTTGATTTTGGGCCTTCTGTAGATAAGGCTTTCTCTTGTTCTTTGTTACTCGTTGGTCATTTGAGCTTTCAATTTTTAGAAGAAAAAAAAATATACTCATTTTTATATATAAGATTTTGGTGCTATTCATCTCGATTTTTATTAAAAAAATAAATCATTTAAAAATGGGTTTCTTTGATTCATGCTGATTCAATTTTTTTAGAGAGATCATAATCATTTTTTTATATCGGATTTAATTCGGTTAAGATTATATTTTAATTGGTTTAATCATTAACCAAATTGACCACCCATACTTACCATTTTTTAGTTTCTACTAAATTGAATTCAAATTAAACCGAATTCAGATATGTAGAACTTTTTGAATGGGATGAGCTTCAGATTCAATGTTCATAATCCTTAAATCAAACCGAAATCACATGAGTACGGGTGGCGAAATCGTATACGGTTAGCGTATTGGGTTTTGATGTGCCATTAAACCAAGATTCAACGCGTTTATATCGGATTGGACATTAAATTCATCATTGAAAACAAATTATTTTTTTTATAATAATCTTCTTTTTAACACCAAATCTGGATTTATATTGATACTACTAACTGATATCTATTTTTTTTAGGCCTTAAAAAACAATATAACTTACAAGGCAAGTAAAAAGCTTGACCCTTTTCACTGTCTGTCTGCATCTGCCACCAAATCTTGCTGATTGCTGAAGCTTCTTGTGACACAAACCTCATAACCATCTCACCTTATGGTTTGGTGCAACCCTAGTTTTCCCCCGAAAATTTTATAATATTCAAACCCCATATCACATTTTCCCTTATATTATAACTTCGCATTTTCCTCTCTTCCTTCCATCAACCCACACTTGAATACACACACAGAGACACGAGCGTTTTGGCTTTTGCTCTCGTTGCCATGGAGCCAAACACCATGGCCACCTTTGACGAGGTAAACAAAAAATTTAAAAGTTTTAAACTTTTCTTCTGGGTTTTGTTCTGTATCTCATTTTTTCATCTGGGTTCGCGTAAGATCTCCAATTATGTCAATGAATGAACTGAAAACACGAACCCTCCTTATGGTGTTTTGTGTGGGCTGTATATAGCATCGTCCTGCAACTCGTCATTCCTTATCGTCGAAGATCTGCAGAGTGTGCGGCGATGAGCTCGGGACCCGCGAAAATGGCGAAGCCTTCGTCGCCTGCCACGTGTGCTCGTTCCCAGTTTGTAGGCCTTGTTACGAGTACGAGAGGAGTGATGGTAACCAGTGCTGTCCTCAGTGCAACACTCGCTACAAGCGCCACAGAGGTACAGTACAGAGGCTTTGTCAAGTTTTAATGTTTCGGTTTTAAACTGAAACATGCTATAGGCTATAGCCATTTTTAGCGTTCATGTTTTTGTTTCAAAAGGTTCTCCAAGAATTCCAGGAGATGAAGACGAGATCAACGGCGGGGATGATTCAGAAGATGAGTATCATCAGATCAAGAATCGCCGAGATGCCTCTGTCCACCAGAACTTTGCCTATGGATCGGTAATGATTTTGATGTTTCCACTTGGTTCATGAAATCTATTGATCCAGAAACTGATAGTTTTCTGATTCTTGCAGGAAAATGCAGATTACAGTAACAACCAGCAATGGCAGCCAAATGGCCAGGCCTTTTCTTCAGCTGGAAGTGGTATATACATATAACCCATGTTTCTCTATACGCATTGTTAGACATACGTACATGCATATATATATGCATACGTACACGGAAAGATTCATGGGTTTTGACTTGACAGTGGCGGGAAAAGAGTTTGATGCTGAGAAAGATGGATACACAAGCGCAGAGTGGAAGGAACGAGTCGAGAAATGGAAACAGAGGCAAGAAAAGAGAGGCTTGGTGACCAAAGAAGACAAATCAAACGATCAAGCCGAAGAAGACGACTACCTGTAAGAAACCCTTCTGTCTCTTTGTTCACTCAAACAAAAAATTCAAGAAAATATCTTGTGTGATAATCTGCTCTGTTTCTGCAGAGATGCTGAAGCAAGGCAACCGCTATGGCGAAAAGTCCCAATCTCATCGAGCAAAATCAGCCCTTACCGCATTGTGATCGTTGCCCGTCTCGTGATCCTCGCCTTCTTCTTCCGTTTCCGTATCCTAACCCCAGCATATGACGCGTATCCTCTCTGGCTTATCTCCGTCATCTGCGAGATCTGGTTCGCTCTCTCATGGATCCTCGATCAGTTCCCCAAATGGTTCCCGATCAATCGCGAAACCTACCTTGACCGCCTCTCCATGCGATTCGAGCGCGACGGCGAGGCGAACAAGCTCTTGCCGGTGGATGTGTTCGTCAGTACGGTGGATCCGCTGAAGGAGCCGCCTATAATCACGGCGAACACTGTTCTCTCGATCCTGGCCGTCGATTATCCGGTGGAGAAGGTCAGTTGCTATGTCTCGGACGATGGTGCTTCGATGCTTTTGTTCGATACCTTGTCGGAAACCGCAGAGTTTGCGAGGAGATGGGTTCCGTTCTGTAAGAAGTATAACGTCGAACCTAGGGCTCCCGAATTTTACTTCTCTGAGAAGATCGATTACTTGAAGGATAAGGTTCAGCCTACGTTTGTGAAGGATCGCAGAGCTATGAAGGTATACAGAGATGAATCCAGAAACACGAACTTAGATCAGAGATTCGACAGAGATAAATAAATCTTTTGGGTTGATCGCAGAGAGAATACGAAGAATTCAAGGTGAGGATCAATGCCTTGGTGGCGAAGGCTCAAAAGAAGCCAGAAGAAGGATGGGTTATGCAAGATGGAACTCCATGGCCAGGGAACAACACGCGTGATCATCCCGGCATGATTCAGGTTCTGGTTTTCATCCACAATTCCTCTGAAAATCGAAGATCCCACCTCTGGATCTTGACCGAAATCCTGGACATGTTTTGCAGGTTTATCTTGGTAAAGAAGGAGCGTTTGATGTAGACGGTAAAGAACTGCCTCGCCTCGTGTACGTTTCACGTGAGAAACGTCCTGGTTATGGCCACCACAAGAAAGCCGGCGCCATGAACGCTATGGTAAGCAGCAGCAATGAAACAATTTTTTACGTACTGGAAATTTACCAGAGAGATTTCAGACCGATGTTCTGATGATGATGTCTGGATCAGGTTCGGGTGTCTGCTGTGCTCACGAATGCTCCGTTTATGCTGAACTTGGACTGTGATCACTACATCAACAACAGCAAGGCCGTGAGAGAAGCTATGTGCTTTCTAATGGATCCACAGCTCGGGAAGAAGCTCTGCTATGTTCAGTTCCCTCAGAGATTCGATGGTATTGACCGCCACGACAGATATGCCAACAGAAACATCGTCTTCTTCGATGCAAGTGACATCTGGGAAAAAGCCCATCAAGATTCTACATTCTCAGACATATTTGTTTACACGATCTTCTTGAAACTGTGGCCAAGCCTCCATTAACAGGTTTTTTCTCTTCATACAGATAAACATGAGAGGCCTAGATGGGATTCAAGGTCCGGTGTATGTGGGAACTGGCTGCGTATTCAACAGGCAAGCATTGTATGGATACGACCCACCAGTGTCGGAGAAACGCCCGAAGATGACATGCGACTGCTGGCCGTCGTGGTGCTGCTGCTGCTGCGGTGGAAAACGCAAAAAGACCTCAGAGTCCAAGAAGAAAGGGCTCAAGAGCTTGTTCACGGGACTGAGGAAGAAGAAGAACACCATGAATTACACGAGAAAACGCTCCGGGCCTGTTTTCGATCTGGAGGAGATCGAAGAAGGGCTTGAGGGGTATGACGAGCATGAGAAATCCTCACTCATGTCTCAGAAGAACTTCGAGAAGAGATTTGGAATGTCGCCTGTGTTCATCGCATCGACCCTGGTGGAGAATGGAGGCTTGCCCGAGGGGACGAACACAAATTCACTGATCAAAGAAGCAATTCATGTGATCAGCTGTGGGTATGAGGAGAAGACAGAGTGGGGCAAAGAGGTTAATCCTTTATTCTGATCCTTATCCCAAAATACAACAACAATTTACCTTTACTCCAAAAGACATATGGATAGTCTGGTCATGATCTTTAATCTCAAACATTTCTTACCGTTCTCAGATCGGATGGATCTACGGATCGGTGACAGAGGACATCCTCACGGGGTTCAAGATGCACTGCAGGGGCTGGAAATCGGTGTACTGCATGCCGAAGAGACCGGCTTTCAAGGGTTCGGCTCCGATCAATCTGTCAGATAGGTTGCACCAGGTGTTGAGGTGGGCCCTCGGGTCAGTCGAGATCTTCCTGAGTCGCCACTGCCCGCTCTGGTACGCTTGGGGTGGCAAGCTCAAGACCCTTGAACGCCTCGCTTACATCAACACCATCGTCTACCCTTTCACTTCCATTCCTTTGCTCGCCTACTGCACTATTCCTGCGGTTTGCCTTCTCACTGGCAAGTTCATCATTCCTACGGTAAGTACATATTGCTTGCATGTTTATTTCACTTCAGATGACAGTGAGCATTTTTCAGTGAAAATGATCAAAGGGCCTTTAAATCAACCAATGGAATGTTCAAAAGATGAAACTTTGCGGAAAATAATGCCTAAAGTACGAAACTTTTTGTGATCTAGGCTTGCAAAATCCTGATTTTCATTCTGATTCTTGCTAATCCACAAAAATATCTTGTAACGGGACAAGCACACGCAATCTCTCTCTGACCCATTTCTTCATATTTCACAATCTAACCTCTCAAATCGCTCAATACCCATGGCAGATCAACAACCTGGCGAGCGTTTGGTTCCTGGCTCTGTTCCTCTCCATCATCGCCACGGCAGTGCTTGAGCTCCGGTGGAGTGGCGTGAGGATAGGTTGCACCAGGTGTTGAGGTGGGCCCTCGGGTCAGTCGAGATCTTCCTGAGTCGCCACTGCCCGCTCTGGTACGCTTGGGGTGGCAAGCTCAAGACCCTTGAACGCCTCGCTTACATCAACACCATCGTCTACCCTTTCACTTCCATTCCTTTGCTCGCCTACTGCACTATTCCTGCGGTTTGCCTTCTCACTGGCAAGTTCATCATTCCTACGGTAAGTACATATTGCTTGCATGTTTATTTCACTTCAGATGACAGTGAGCATTTTTCAGTGAAAATGATCAAAGGGCCTTTAAATCAACCAATGGAATGTTCAAAAGATGAAACTTTGCGGAAAATAATGCCTAAAGTACGAAACTTTTTGTGATCTAGGCTTGCAAAATCCTGATTTTCATTCTGATTCTTGCTAATCCACAAAAATATCTTGTAACGGGACAAGCACACGCAATCTCTCTCTGACCCATTTCTTCATATTTCACAATCTAACCTCTCAAATCGCTCAATACCCATGGCAGATCAACAACCTGGCGAGCGTTTGGTTCCTGGCTCTGTTCCTCTCCATCATCGCCACGGCAGTGCTTGAGCTCCGGTGGAGTGGCGTGACCATCCAAGACCTATGGAGAAACGAGCAATTCTGGGTCATCGGCGGCGTCTCCGCCCACCTCTTCGCCGTCTTTCAGGGTCTCCTCAAAGTCCTTGCCGGCGTCGATACCAACTTCACCGTCACCGCCAAAGCCGCCGCCGACGAATCCGACGAGTTCGGAGACCTTTACCTCTTCAAATGGACAACCCTCCTAATCCCTCCGACAACACTCATCATCCTCAACATGGTCGGAGTCGTCGCCGGAATCTCCGACGCGATCAACAACGGGTACGGGTCATGGGGTCCTCTGTTCGGGAAACTGTTCTTCGCGTTCTGGGTCATCGTTCATCTTTACCCGTTCCTCAAGGGTCTGATGGGTCGGCAGAATCGGACGCCGACGATCGTTGTGCTCTGGTCGATTCTTCTGGCTTCGATTTTCTCGCTCGTTTGGGTTCGAATCGACCCGTTCTTGCCCAAGCAGACTGGTCCGCTGTTGAAGCAGTGTGGGGTCGAGTGCTAGATCAGCTTTTAAGGTGTGTTTTGTCGGCTCGCTGTTACGAATCGTCTGTCTTTCCTTGGCATTCTACTCTTTGGTCACGGTTTTGACCGGTTTAGGGTTTCGATCTAAGGGTTTGTAATAAACTTTTCAATCCGTATGACAGCGTGGTTGGTATTCACAAAAAACTGCACAGGCTCTATAAAGAAAACCAGAAGAATGCTACATATAACATGACTGCTATACGAGATACAATAGTATTCAGTGTCAAACAACACAAACAGAAGGAATATATTGCAGTGAGAAACAGACGAACACAACCATGAGAAATCTCACAAGGCAATAATATAATAAAAGAATGATTCTTTGCATAGTACTAATCTAACAGATATCGTTGGAGTGATTCGTGTGAGTAAGCCATTATAGATTTGTCCTCCTCCTCAGCTGTTCAAGCCTCTCTCCAATCTTGCCTCAAATGGCGTCGAATGCCGATTCAATCTCTTATCCTGCATTTCCAAAAAGACATGTAAATAAGAAACAGAACGATTTCAGTTGAACGATAAGAAACGAAGAAACAACTCGTGTAGAGAACTCCATTAATGCAGCAGAAGTGTGATTGAATGAGTGTAGTTCATTCACACCTCTCTGTACTTGCTGCTTGTGGTTGGCATTCCTTTGAATGAAGAGGCAGAGCTATGATCCTTTCCACTTACTGAGTGATCCCAGCAACTTCCGACTGAACCGATAATAGGCGTCTCATCAGGGCTTTTGCTTGGCGATTTCCTTGGTGACGAAAAAGCTGAGAACTTTTTTATTTCCTCTGCTGTCAATGCGCCCGGTATAGGCCTTTCATCGTGGTTATTAATCGGTGTTGAGTTGCAGGAGTTGGTTTTCTCTGGAGTTGTCTCTGACGAAGATAACCAAGTTGAAAGACTGGCATCAACGGCAAATTCTTGGTTCTTTGTTTTCTTGGGTTCATCTCTGGGTTTCGGCTTGAAGCTGAATGGTGATGATTCATCAAGCCGGGGTTCTGTGCTGAAGGCGGAGATGATGTTAAGGTTCTCTTTTTGAGGTTCTCTCGGTATTACTCTCCCTTTAGATTTCACAGCTTTCCACTGAGTGAGATTTTCAACTGGGTTCAATACGGGGTGGACATAGCCACTTCTGTCTCTGGCACTTGCATTCGACCCTCTCGGCTCCGCTTCTATCTCCTCCATTTCCAAACCGTTTTCTGCAATCTTCTCCGCATAAACTTCCTTGGCCTGGTTCGGTAACTTACTCTCGTAATAGCCACCACCATCGCTATAATAATCTTCATCAAACAATCCGTCTTCATCGTCAATATCGTCTAGATCGCTCTCATCACATTCTATTCCATCCTCTTCGTCATCACTCTCTCTGCAATTCTGGTATCGGTGTTTTGGAGGGAAGGTCCCTGACGAGTTCGATGTGATTGAGCTGTTCTCGGATGGAGATTGAATCTGGCTTGACTTCACAGGTTTCTCCTCTGGTCTGATCTCTTCTTTATCTTTTGGAAATTCAACAGATTCATCCGGTAAAATATGTTCATAGGTTTTGATATTCGAGTCAAAAGTTACTTTCTTCCGGGTAGGGCTCCGATTGCATCTCTCTTCAACTTTTTCACTGCATTAAACCACAAGTAACAAGAAGTCATAAATCAGTCAGCCAAACGAAGCTTGAGACATGATTTCAGGGACAAGTACAAAATCTATGATTTTTCTGAAAGATAAAACACCCACTAGAGATCAGGGTTTTGATTTTCGGACACTTTGGAGATTTCCTCAACCATTGGAACCTCAGCCTTCAGATGATCATTCTTCGAAGATCCTTCAGAGATTCTCTGTAAAAGAACAAGATTGCATCAGGTCAAACAGGAACTGGTTAGCAACTGAGATCGTCGCACAAGCTAGACCAACTTAAACAACTCAACATCTCAAGCTGAAGTTTTGAACTTCCTAACCTAATCATAACGATTTCAAGTCTCGAACTGATTGAAACCAACACACAAGAGTTGAAAAAGAAAATCCCACTACAACGAAGAGCGAAACCACAACATTCGCGGGTTCATTTTCTCGGAAAACTTACGTTTCCTCGAGGCTGAACATGTTCCCTGCGTCTCTGACGCCGGTGATTCTTCGAAGCACCGAAGCAACCAAGAAAGCACCCCATTCTCCGAAAATTCAAGCCCCACCTTGATAAAATTCTTCGAGGAGTTTTCAGATTCTCGATCAAACCTCAAAAGATCGTCATGGGTTTATGGAGAGAGAGATGAGCGGGGTGTAGGGTCTCCATATCTGATACTGATTGGAATGGAAATAGAGGGAAAAGCTTACCGGTGGTGGAATGTGGATTTGGGATTTAGGGTTTTTAATTGTTTCTTTTTTTTTTCAAAATTTTGGGGGGAAAAGTAGGTGACCGTTACGGGCGTGATCAACCAATCAGGGCCGTATTGGACCGTTGCTCCATCTCGTGGTCGGGCCCTCTGGGCCACAAACTATTATTAAAAATATTTTAATATTTTAAGCAATTTCTTATATTTAAAATTTACTCAACCCTTACCCGACCCGATTCGTAGACATGACATCTACTGTACGCAGAAATGGACTCCAATGACTAACGTATATACACTTTCCATGGTTTCTATTCTAGCCTATAAACTCACATATAATATGGTTACAAAAATTCGAAATTAGGATGGAAAGTTTGATGTTTTCAGAGTCGTACATGATCTTTTTAACTGCGGACGTGTAACCCAACATATTTCGTATCTAATAAAAGGGCCCATTAAAGTTGAAGAAAGAAGTTGGGCCCATTATATTGTTGGGCTTGGCAGAAATTTACGAACTGTTAAAGCCCATAAAGTAACTTTTTTTCTGTGCCAGATCGCAGGGGCATAATTGTAAAACAAAGAACCTTCCAAAAAAATTCAACTTCTCCCAACTGTTGGTCATAATAATACCAAAGATCCGCGAATGCGAACACTCCCTCCCTTCGTCGCTTACTTTTCCTCCCTCCATCTCTCTTTCTAAAATTCCTCTCTCTACGGCCTCCTGCGATGATATGAGACCACGCACACGAACGATGGGAGCGGATTCGCATTTGGTAATCGTTTCCGTCGCCGTCATCTCCCTCCTCTTGATCCTCTCCGGCAGAGCTGCGGCGGAGGACGGCGGCGAGTTCGGTGGTGACTACTCGAAGGTGTCGGGGATCATCATCCCGGGGTTCGCTTCGACGCAGCTGCGTGCCTGGTCGATTCTCGATTGTCCGTACACTCCCCTGGACTTCAATCCACTCGACCTCGTTTGGCTTGACAGCACTAAGGTTCGTGATCTTTCTTTGCTGTACGTTTTCTGCTTCTTCTTCCGTCGATTGAGCTATTGCTCGATGAACTTGAAGCGGCGTAAGAATGTACGAGATCTCGAATGGATTCAGCGAGTTGTTGTTGATACCAGTATGTATGTGATGTTAACGTCGTCATGTTCAGGATTCATGATATAAAATCGAAGCAACGTAAACGGATTAGTATGCAAGAAATTTTTCTTCAAATTTTTTGGATTATAATTTGCACGCAGTGAATTTTGATATAATTGACTGAATGAACCTGATTACATTTGTATTTTGAATTTGAGTTTCGACTAGATCTATAAGGTTTTAGGGCGTAGATGTTCTTCATTGCCACACAGTAAGCGCAATGCTCTATAGTAATTGAACTATCTCCTATTTGACTGTGGTTTGAATTGTTTGATTGTTAGTGTTTGGGATATTAGTATGTGCACTTGGACGAATAACTTCAAGATTTTGGCTTATTCATTGCTATTCCCTTAGGATGAAAAGTGATGCTTGATTATCGATAAACTTGATGGATGCGCTGCAGGTTATTTCTGCTGTCAACTGCTGGTTTAAGTGCATGGTTTTAGATCCTTACAATCAAACAGACCATCCTGAGTGTAGGTCTCGGCCTGACAGCGGCCTTTCAGCTATCACGGAGTTGGATCCAGGTTATATAACAGGTAGTCTAATTTTTTTTTCTTTCTTTGAAGTTGTTTAGTGTTAGTTATAAAGTTATGTTTTCGCTCATTTTTGTGATGGTATGGTGGTTAAGTGATCTTGTTTTGAACTTTAGGCCCTCTTTCTTCCGTCTGGAAAGAATGGGTTAAGTGGTGCATCGAGTTCGGCGTGGAGGCTAACGCAATTGTTGCTGTTCCATATGATTGGAGATTGTCACCTTCAAAACTCGAAGAGCGAGACCTTTACTTTCACAAGCTCAAGTTAGTGTTCATCCTAATAATCTCTAGTGTTTCTGTGCTAAAGTGTAGAATGAAGTTTTCTTCTCTTTTTTCTGCAGGATGACCTTTGAAACTGCTCTGAAACTCCGTGGTGGCCCTTCCATAGTTTTTGCCCATTCTATGGGGAATAATGTGTTCCGATACTTTCTGGAGTGGTTGAGGCTAGAAATTGCACCAAAACACTACATGGAGTGGCTAGATCAGCATATCCATGCTTATTTCGCTGTTGGTAAGGGCTGATTTCTGTTAAGTTACTATTTTCTTTACTGGCTAGGAAATGTAGAGCAATGTGTGTCCTAACTCTGTTAGCCCGACACCTTCCTTCCTGTTGGTTTAGGAGCTCCTCTTCTGGGTTCAGTTGAGGCAGTCAAAGCTACTCTTTCTGGAGTAACTTTCGGCCTTCCTGTATCTGAGGTTATCTCTGACTTCCATTTTGCATTAGCACTTTAAGCACATCAAAGCTGCAAAGCTCAATATGGATTTGTAGATTTTAAATCGGTTAGTCATCAAACAGCATATTTGATTTTGGGTAATATGTGTGCCAGCTGCTTTGTCTTAGTCAACATAATTGCATCACATATGCAGATAGTCTTTTCCGTTTACTGAGGTAGATTTCGACAGTTCAGAAGAAAGTTTCATTTTGTTATCTTGCATTCTGCAGGCTGTGATTTAGAAAGTCATGTTCTATACTGATTATTGACATGTTCTTCTTATGTTTTTGATTGGCAAGGCTTCAGGGGACAGCTAGGTTGTTATTCAATTCATTTGCTTCTTCACTATGGCTTATGCCATTTTCAAAAAACTGTGAGGCTGAAAACACGTTCTGGAAGCATATCTCTGGTGGTATACAGAAAGATAAGCATATGTACCACTGTGATGAAGAGGAATATCAATCAAACTATTCTGGATGGCCCACAAACATAATCAACATCGAAGTTCCTTCTACCAATGGTTAGGCTTTGCATATGCTTTTGGAACTGGTTCATTCTCATCATTTTTGGTTTATCAACTACCATAAGTGTTTCAGGTTTCGATGCATATCCGTCAGTTACAGAAACAGCTGAAACTAACTTGACCAGCTTGGAATGTGCTCTTCCTACTCAATTGTCTTTCACTGCTCGTGAAATAGCAGATGGGACTCTTTTCAAAGCAATCGAAGACTATGATCCAGATAGCAAGAGGATCTTATATCAGTTAAAGAAGTAAGCAACTGCTCCATAGCAGGCATTATTGCTTCTCATGCTCTGGAGTCCTTGTGAATGTTGCACATTAGATTGCTTGTGTAAATCATTATTTCAATTGGGCATATATTTCTGTCTTAAATGTAAGAGAACATAGCTTTCATCAAGCTTCTCTTTGACTTGCATCAATGATGTTATTTCATTAAATTCAAAGGTTGAATCCTGCATGTTGTCTGTGGTATCAAATGCAAAATAGGTAATTTGTGTAGGTACTTTGTGGGTATGGATTTTATGTGGAACATCTACGCTGTTTAAAAATTTTGTGAGTCTGTGCATTGGGCTTGATCTTTGTCAATCTTAACTGGGAAAAGGGGACTAATTCCTCTGTATTGTACTTTACAGGTTATATCATGATGATCCTGTTATGAATCCTCTGACTCCGTGGGAAAGACCTCCTATCAAAAATGTATTTTGCATTTATGGAGTTGATTCAAAGACAGAGGTACAGTTGAATTCTCTAAGTGACACTAGACTTCAATTTATGCTGTTATATTCGATGTTATATAGTAAGTGTGGAGTTTCGGGATGACTTGCTTGGTTTATATTGTGTTTTCTTTTCTTGGTTTACATTTGTGTTTTATTCCCCGAGCTAGGAATTTTTATTATAGCATATGCTTGTAAGCATGAACGACGTTAAATATCTGAGTTGCTGACAGGTTGGATATTACTTTGCTCCAAGTGGCAAGCCGTATCCTGATAATTGGATCATCACGGATATCATTTATGAAACTGAAGGTTCTCTGGTGTCAAGGTTTGTTGGCAAGCGTTTTCATGGTCTGTTGGTTTCCAGTTCTGAATTGAATTGTTTGTGTAGTTATATGCCAAAATATTTTCAGTGATGTTCAAATGCCAGAACCCAGAAATCCAATTCGAGAAGCAAGGCTTTCTGTAGCAGTCTAGTACATATATTTCTTGAACCTGGCTAGCTAGCATCTCATGTATGCAATCAAGTTCATGGATTACTAGAACTTCACTGTTGGTATTACCATTCCTTGTTAAAACTCATCGGAGTTGAGATGCTAAAAGTAAAAAGGATTATGAACCTTTCACGCAAAATATGATTTGAAGCAAAATTAACAGACTAATTAAAAATCAGTCTTGTTCTGATTTATTTATTTGGAGTCATACCCTTTGTTTGTTTTTTTGTTCGTTTTTTCTTAAGACACGCTAGTTAGTGACATTTGACCTCTCTCATTTGTTTACACTGCAATATGTGCAGGTCCGGAATTGTGGTTGATGGAAAAGCAGGACCTATAAGTGGGGATGAAACGGTATGCTCATAATATAGACATATAGTAGTGTCACACAAGCTATTGCAAGCCATATGATATTTGCTTCAAGTTCTAGAATACTGCCAATCATACATTACAAAGTCCATGCACTCTGTAATTTTTTCAAATATTGGATTTTATCCCTTATAGGTACCCTATCACTCACTCTCTTGGTGCAAGAATTGGCTTGGACCTAAAGTAAATATTACGAGGGCACCCCAGGTACTCTCCTTTTCTGATTCTCACCTGAATAGCTTAAGTGTCTTGTGATCTTTTCTTTTTTCTATAATCGTAATGTGTGCCTATTGCTATTATATTTTGTCCACAAAGATCAATCCCGTAATTAACTTTTCTGGCTGCATGCATTTCTTTAAGTATTTCTGGGTATCAGAAATATTATATGACTCGTTGTTTCTTTTTCAATAAACTGCCTCAAAAGATGGCTGTATTTTTTCAACATCTTAAATCTCCAACCTCAAAGGAAAAGAAGAGCACAGATGTGTGGAAGCTAAATAGGTTCTGTTGACACAATACAGGCAGAACATGATGGAAACGATGTACAGGTGGAGCTGAATGTTGAACATCAACGTGGAGAAGACATTGTTCCTAACATGACAAGAGCACCAAGGGTCAAGTACATAACATTCTACGAAGACTCTGAAAGCACTCAAGGAAAGAGGACTGCAGTTTGGGAACTCGATAAAGGTTGGTAATATGTCCTTGCATTGCACTTTCAGAAATTTGCAGCAGATATCTGATCGGCAGTGAAATTCTGTGTCGTCTAATGCTTTTGCACACCGATGTTCATTACGTTCTTTGTGGTATTTTTAATCCGTGAAGTGATTATCCAGGCAGTTTCCTTGGTTTTGACTATATTTTTTTTTCGTATACAGCAAACCACAGGAATATTGTTAGGTCACCAGTTCTGATGCGAGAGTTATGGCTCCAGATGTGGCATGACATTCAACCTGGTGCTAAGACAAAATTTGTCACCAAAGGTAAAAAGTTCTTTTGATTCCGTTATATCATATACTGGTAAGCATTCTTCTGTTTCTTTGCCTTAACCATAAAATACCATGCCACAGCCAAGCGTGGACCTCTAAGAGATGCAGACTGCTACTGGGATTACGGAAAAGCCCGGTGTGCTTGGCAAGAGTACTGTGAATACAGGTCCACTTTTCTCGCATATGAAAAAAAAATTCCCTTTTCCAACCAAATTCTCTAATACACTAAAACATCCCTAAACATTCTTACAAAAGTAACCACTAATTTGATTCATAAAAATAAATGCAGATATAGTTTCGGCGATGTTCACTTGGGACAAAGTTGTAGATTGAGGAACACATCTGCTGATGCCCTGCTGCAGTACGCGTAGGTTGAAATGACGGTAGTCATTCGGGTCAGTAGTCCAATTTCTGACAAAACTTGAACTGATAATACCAAGTTATCGTTCGTTTTTGCATTGAACTCGGTGTCTTCAAATTTGTTGTTGGTTCCGCAGGACCCATACACCTCATCGTTGTCTCTCCCCGGAGTAGAGGGTCTTATTGACATGGAATTCTTTTGGCTTCGCCACAGATTTTTTTTTTTTTGTGGTTTACCTCTATAACTCAATGAACTCATGCAGATTTCGGCGGGAACTGTACATAGACAATCTAAGCTTCACGCTCTAGAAAAAGGTAAACATTCTATGTCCTTTGTTTCCTCTTTCAAAGCACAGTATGTGGCTTATAACTAGGTGAAGCATCATGACTGTACACTAACGGTTGATGCCCACTGTAATAATCTTTGAGGATCTGAAGTTTTTTTTTTTTGAAACCTAGACTTCTTAAGACGCTCTCTTAGGCCTGGAATATGTGCATTGTCTTTGTTACACTAATCCCCATAGGTTCCTCGAAGTTACAAATTTTATTAGACCGCCTATAAGAAGTAAAAAGAGCCAATGTCATTTGTTAGAGACTAGAGAGGTCCCAAAAAAAAATTGTTGGTGCGCATCTTCTTGCCCTGATGGGGACTGGTGACGGAATTCTGTTTCTGGTTGATTGTGCGAAGATTAATGGTCGGTTCAGTAGAGGGGTTGTGGTGTTTATTTAAGATTGCATGATAAAAAATAAACGCAATTGTTCTGTCGCCTTTGCATTGACTAGACCAAAATTATACGTGTAAAAAGAATATTTTATTCATGCCATCAAGGAACCCGTCTATTTTGTACGTCTATTTATTTTATATATATATATATATATATAATATTTTCTTTGACTTCCTAATTCTTTTTTATTGGCGCCTGTACCCACGTGTTTCTCGGGTTTGCGATTAGTGTTGCCAAGAGTCTATGATTTTGTTATGTGCATTACATGTTTATCTCGATGATTCGTCATAAGATCTTATTGATGAATTTATTTCCATGTTTATTTCGATAATGCGTGCAGTTAGTTTTATGGTAATAGAAAGATGATGATGGGTTATCCGCATTTTTTTTGCCGATCAAACTATAAAACGTTTTGCTCTTTTTTTTATTATATTATTGGAAAATAGGGAACAAAACATGTTAGGTGTAATACTATTATTATATTATGGTGTTACCGTTTGCTGGTTTGGTTGAACATGTGTTTGATATGAAAGATTAGCGAAAACGAATCGCGTTAGACCAGTTTTGGTCCCTCCGAGTGGGTCCCCCCCATTCAATTTTCGGAATTAAAAAAAAAGGCATGCATTTTTCGTGCTTATTCTTTTTTTTTTCATTTACTTTTTCTGAGTTTTGGCATTATTCATTCATTAGGATGAAAATAAGATGAGAATGCAAACTGATACCAAACTACCAAAGCAATAAATTTTGTACCTTGTTATCAACGGAGGATTCGTTTTCTTAGATTTTTTATTTTTTTTATATTACTCGGTGCATTTATGATTATGATTATTACGAGTATTTGGTCGTCATTCAATTATGTAAATATAGTAATATTTGACTATATAGCCTCCAACTGCCTTCACCCAGAAAATAACAAATTGCTTGTTTGCATCGATTACTTGTTTCAGATGAATTTTCTAAATCAAACAACTTATGGAGATGTTATTGTATTACAAATGCATTGCATAGTCACTTTTTCTTTCTTTCCTTTCCTTTTTTTTTTCAATCCTTGATTTAATTGCCATACTGCACTTTTATCTCAAATTCGGATACCAAGGGAACAAGGGTAAAAGTCAAGGAAAGGCCCTCTTTACTCCATATTTTACCAAATTTCAGGGATGATACGTATAACGTTCAAGAGCGAAATTAATGGTGTCGTACAAGGGCAAAAACATCGGATGACGTTTTGTATGAGTAAATTCGTATGGGAAAAATAAATGTTTGAAATTCAAAAGTACAAAATGTGGATAACCTTTTGTTTGAAGTGGTGTTATCATCAAAAGCTGAAAGAAGACCTTGCAGTTGCAGCCACTCCCTTGTTCAAAACCCTAGCCCCACTCTTACCTTCGATAAAAAAAAAAATTTAATTATTGACGATTATGTTCTACGCAATTTTGGTTCTCAAAGTCCCATCATTTAATATATATATACATATGTATTATCTGCGATTTTCCAATAATGTTAAAAATAAATAGAATAATTTGCTTAACAGTTTTAGATTCATATTTTCCATGGATAAACTTGTGGAGATATAAGATTAGATCAATTATATGTTGTTTAATTACATCCATTTTAAATTTGTCAAAATATTTTTTTTTTAAAGATATGTTATATTAAAACACCAATTTTCTCTTATGTTAGCTAAATTAATGGCAGAAATCGAAATTCAGAAGTAAATATCTATTTGGCTAAACAAACTAGTAGACGATGTAATTGTTTTTATGACTAAGGTGTACGAGATTCATGAGCAAACTGATATGTGAGATCCATGAAAAGACAAAATAAAAATAAAATCTATCTATTGGTTAAAAAAATCTATTAACTTTATCTATAGGACCATGTAAATCTCAAACTTTTGGTTTGTGATGTGGCATTTACCATTAATAGGGAATTAAACTCTTAATTCTATCGACTAATTAACATCGCGTTTATGTGATTTTTTGCCAAAACAAATTATGGTCTTCTTAACTATTTTTACGCAACTTGTATTTTTTCGGCGTCCATATTTCTCCTAAATAAAATTGTATATATCGATAAAACAAAATTATCAAAACCCTAATGTCTATTATATATGGAATTCAAGTCACGTACAAATTTACAGTATATGTTGGTTCTTCTTCTTTGTATATATAAAAAAAGATAAACGTATTACCGTTTTTATAGTCAATATTTCCTTAGACTAGAACGTGGGTTGTTGAGTTTTTGCAATTATTTTTGCAAAAATTTTACTAAAACGCAAAGGATAGACCACATATAAATAAATAAAATTATCAATTCTCTTAATCCCCAAAGAAATTAGCAAGAGGCTAAATACTAAAAGGAGAATGGAATCCTGCGTCTCCCCAAAGGCCAAAGTCCCTTAGTGGGACCAAGTCTGAAGATATGGTAAAGACGGAAGGGCAGTTTCGTAAATTACTAGTAAATGGCATTGTGTGTAATTTCCTGGAGGAACGAGGGTTATCAACATTCCCCGCCTCTATAAATTGTCATAACCTTTTCCGACGCTTTGTTTTTTGTTTGCCCTCTCTCTCCCTTCCTCATCTCTCATCTCTTTCTCCTCGCAACAAAAATCTCACGCTGGTCCTTTTCAGTTTTCACCCGACTCTCCCCAAATTACTGTGTTTTACCGCAGTAATTATTTCAATTTTTACTGGGTGCTGACGTGGCATGCATCCAATAGAGAGGCGCCATGAACACCAAAACGATGCGTCTTCCCCCACGTCGAGTTCTGACGCCGGACAAGCGCAAGGAACGCGACGGCGTCGTCCCCGTCACCGGAAAGCTGCCGGAAACCGCCGTGATGAAGCCTCCGTTACCGCCGATTATCCCTCCGGTTCAGTCCTTCTCCAGAAAAGCCCCGGCAAAGGTGGCGCCCTCAGCCGCGACGGCCGAGCCGGCCGGTTCGAACCAGCTCCTGGCCGGTTACTTGGCCCACGAATTCCTCACAAAGGGGACACTATTCGGAGAGCAGTGGAACCCGGTTCGAGCACAAACCGGACCGGTCGAGCCGAGGATGACCAAACCCAGCCATAATACTGAGCCGGATGATCCGAGCGAGCGGAAGCGGAGGAGGTACGTGGAAGTGGCCAATCTCCTACGGGCAGACGGGACCCACCTGCCCGGAATCGTCAACCCTGCCCAGCTTGCCCGATTCCTCAAACTGTGATGCCAATTCCTGTCCACGTGGATCCAGATCATTGGTCTGTCACCTGGTAAACATGACAGCCCTAACACCGCAACATTCTCTCTATGGTTTGTTTTTGAAAAATTTTATCCTCCCTGTAAAGCTGACTCTCTCTCCTCGTCTTCTTCGAAATTGACTCAGAAATCTTAGGGTTTTTTTTTAGAGCTTTCGTATTCTGTACATCAGATTGTGATATCGATCAGGGAATGGAATACATTTTCAGTTGGAAATCTGAATTTGCGTTGGTTTTATCCTTTTGCTGATCTAAATCGGAGCTCTTCGATTAATCTCTTCTGTAAACCAGATCGTGCGAAACGACGATTATGTGATTGTTTCCGACCACTGGAATAAGTTCCCTTTCGTGGAAACTAAGGTTCGAGGGGTTAATGATATTTCGTTCAATCCGAGAAAACCATAATTTTTGTTTGGAGGCAGAAATATTTCGACTTTTGTGACAAAATTTCTGTGCATTCTTATGGGTTCGCAACAAGGATTAGTCTTCTGTTTATTGGGTTAGTGAAAGATTTCTTATCTGATCTTCGATCTGATGGGTGTTTGTCTGCCTTCTAATTCGGATTGTTCCTTCTTTTGATAGTATGATTATTCGAAATCTGACGCAACTTTTTTTTCCCCATATGGTTTTCTTTTTGTTCCATTATTGAACCTTTGAATTCTCAGGTTAAATTGCTTTGCTTACTCCCAGAGTTCAAACAGCTAATGATTATATTCGTATATAGTTCAAATATTATTATATTTATTTATTATTTGGGTCTGGTTTATAATATGGTATGAATTAGGAATTGTAGTGAAAATAAACTATTTTTCTCGTTATATTATCAATAGTACATGAGCAACTCTTTATAGTTAGCCGAAAACAAAATCTGCAATGCAGATCGGAAATCCGACCTATTTTTTTAAAATTTTATAATAATATACGTTCCCTTCAAATAAAAATTCAAATCGTAATTTTTTTGTTGGATTAATAAAGAGGGAATGTAACGTATGTTTTGAAAAACTTAGCTCACGCGCGGAAGATGTGCCGAGTCCTAATTAATTTTAGCAAAATTCGGCGGATTTCGTTCGATCGCATATGATCCACAGAAATCGAGCGCGTTGCATCAACGCACAAATGAGCGCGTCAGCACTTAATATGGGCCAATCTCTCTGGGCCCTCTACGATCTATTCAAATTATTGGGCCCAGGCCCTTTATCAGTTCGTTCTTTCGTGCATTACATTATATATTTTTTTTTATAATATATGCTTTGGAAATTATCCATTTTTTTAAGTAGAGATTCAATATGTATTTCGATCCATCCCCTAAACCTTGAATCAGTATTTAATCACATAATTAATTATATTTTCTCTTTTCATTAATAGAATCAAACCAAGATCTTAAAGTGATTGTGTCACCTTTCAATCACTATACCACTAATGAATTGATAAAAATTATTTATTTAAATGTATTACATTTATCTTTTTATATAGTCTTTCGTTGTTTTTTTATTGACGTATTTAAATGAGAGAGATATTTTCTATTGAAAAATAGGACCTCGAAAAAAAAAACTAATTATATTTTTTTCTCCATCTATTCAACCAGAAGAACAGTAAAGAATCGAAACAACATAAAAGTTTGAATTCTTTTCATTCTTTTCTTTTGACATAAAGAATTATACATATATTTAGGGGGAAGCGAGAGAAGGAAAAAAAAAAAAAGCAAAAGACAAAAAGCAGGACCCGAACCCGGTTTGGTTCGGTTAAGTTCGGTTATCTGCACATTTGGTTTTAATTTTGTTTGGTTACATGATTCAGTCAATAGTCAGACTCTTGCCGTCTCCGGTTCGCTTCGAGCTGACGGTGCGACGGATTCGAGAAGCTTCTATAGACGCAGTACGGACCCGACTCAGCCACCTCCTCCGAAGACGACGACCCCGATTCGCTCTCTGCATCAAAACCAAAACGCGTTTTCATCTTCCAAACGCGATTTTTCAAAACGCAGCGTTTCGATTCTTTCTGCTAAGTTCATTGAAAAAAAAAGGTTCCGTTACCGAAGAGTGACTTCACTGATGGCCTCTTCGTCTTAGACTCTTTCTTCTTCAACTCAGCTGACAAAACAGAAGAAAGATGACAAAACCTATACACACACACACATATATATATAAGTTAAAAATTTCTTCAAGAGGAAGTTACCAATCCCAGGAACTTGGTAGTCATTGATGATTTCGAAATTCTTGTAAGTGTAACCTACAAAGTTGATGTCTTTTGAAGAAAGCATCTGCAACCAGAAAGACGCAATATTCGCGTAAAAACGCTGGTTTGCGTTTGCGTTTAAATTCCAAAACGCAGAATCCGAGTGACCGTTGGATCTTAAACGCTAATAGGAATGATGGAAAAGGGTCTTGAAATCAATGAAATGCACCTTCCTCCATGGCCCTGTTTTAGGAGGTGCCTGAGTCTGTGCATCTGCCTGGACAAAAATGATGGTATAATGATACGAAAACGACGAGAAAACAGAAAGAATTCGCTGTATGTATGACAACAGTGAGAGTTGAGGAAGGAGAAGACGAAGAAAATGCGAATAACCTCGTCGAATTTCTCGAAGTTTTGAGTATCCAAATCATCGTTAACCTCGGGAATAAACACGGCTTCCATTTGGTAAATCTTGTCCCATTCCATGCCATTGAACCATGGATGAGCCTGCGAGAGCGCGTATTTTCTTGGTTAATATCATTCCAATACTTGGACGAAATTTTCAGTCTTTTTGGGGGTACAATCACATAAAGGACAGACCTTGATCTCATCAGCGCCTCCAGAGCCGAGCCTCTGGTTGACATTGCATAAGAGCTTGCTAATGAGATCCTTCGCCTCCGGTGACAGTTTCGCTTCTTCGGGAAACTTCAAATGTGTTCTCCAGTTAACTATCTGCGTATATAACCGCAAAAAGACCCGATATTTCAAACAAAACTTGTGTTCCGTTTACAGAATCTGGGGGAAAAAACAGAGGAAAACGTGTTAAACAAATGCTCTAAATCGTCATATATACCTTTCTACAAGTCGACATGGGATCATCGGAGTAAAATGGTGGATATCCGACAAGCATCTCGTACATTATAGCTCCGAGAGACCACCTGCCCCGAAAGAACGATCGGTAAGATATGTTTGAGCAGTGATAGTGACAGAAAACTTTAACATTTCCGTTCGACATCTCTATATATCATTCATACCAATCACACTCCATGCCATATCCTTTCTTTAACAACACTTCCGGGGCGATGTAATCGGGTGTACCAACGGTAGAATAGGCCTGTGAAAAAGGGTCGGTGAAAAATGTTTGCGGACATCAACGTTTTCGAAGAGGGAGAGAGAGAGAGAGAGAGAGAGAGGTTACGAGCATTCTTCTGTTCTTCTGCCAATGCTGAAGCTGTTCTTGCTGTGAACGCTTAGGAGTGAAACTGTTCTCATCGCTCTCGGTAGCTCCATTAGAAGCGTTTCCTCCATTGGAGAAATCTTGTTCTTCGATGGCACTGCAATCCAACGGCTTGCACAGTCCGAAATCCGACAACCTTAGATGTCCATACCGATCAAGCAACAAGTTATCCGGCTTTATGTCCCTGCAAGAAAAAACATCACCATATGCCAGATTTTCCCATCGAGAAGGAGTTTATTTCCATGTCTGGACATGAACTCAGAGCCTGGAAATGCAAGAAAACCTGTGGATATAATTGCGTTTGTGGATAGATTCGACGGCTAAAACCACCTCTGCAACGTAAAATTTCGATTCGGATTCGGACAGAGTATCTTTACGCATGAGAAGAGTCATCATATCACCGCCGGGAAGATACTCCATTATAAGGTAAAGATAGTCGTCGTCTTGAAAAGAACAGTAAAGCTTCACAATACAGTTGCTGTCGACTTCGGCCAACAGATTTCTCTCTGCTTTCACATGCTCTACCTGCAAAAAGAGAGAAGAAGCGTTTTTTGAAAACGATCCAAAGGATAACGTGTTTCCAAAATGTGTAATGGAATTGAACCTGTCCTCGACGAAGCATCTCTGATTTCTTGAGTTTCTTCATTGCGTAGACATGGCCAGTCGTCTTCTCTCTGCAAACCCTAACCTGAACCGATCAAATCGAAAACGTTGAATCAAATTATAGCTACTGAATGGCCAAAATGATGCAGAAAGTGGAGTGTTTTGCCTCTCCGAAGGCGCCCTTTCCGATCATTGTGAGCAGCTCGAAATCATCGGCACCCATCTTATGCCTTTGAAGTCTCATGTACTCAGTCTCCTTCTTCTCCAGAAACTTCAGCAGATTGTTCTGATCTTCTTCTGATACATCTGCATCTGCAAGCTTCTCCTCCAGCATTTTTCTCCTGCAACAAGATCCAATTTTTCATCCGACCCTTTATCCAAACTCACAAGGGTATCAAGTAAATTCATATTATATGAACATATATAAACATACATATATATATATACCTCTCTTTCCTCTCTTGAAGAATCTTCATCTGTTCCTTGTAGTGATTCTCAATGTACTGCTTTGCTGCAGCAACTTTCTGTTTGGTGGCCTTGGAGAGTAACTCACCTTCTGGTTTTGGCGGGTTTGCCATCGTAGACGTGGTCGGTGCCGTCGACTCTTCATTCGGTCCGGTGGTTCCGTACGTACTTCCGGTGAACATGTCCTTTTTCCGGAACTTGTCCCGTGGCTGAAACTTATGAAACCAGCTTCTTGCAGAGTCCATTTTCCCCCTCTTTTTCAAGACCCTTTTACCTTAAAGGCATCCCTTCTGTTCAAACAAACAGGAGAAGAGATTGCTGATGAATCAGAGATACGGCCATGGATTCATGGTTTTATGATGCGTTAGCAGAAACCCTAATTCAAGTCCTGCATCAGAACGTGCCCTTTGGATTCGTTACGCATAAACCGAATGGCAAAACCAGATTAAACATCTATTACAGATTCTAATGGTGTTTTCCTTCATGGGCAAAGGAAAAACTTCTTCGTCACGTTATCTGGACACCAAACTCCATGGAAAGAGGAACATCGAGAGAGAACAGAAGCGAAAGAAGAAACGAACAAATACAGATTGGGCCACAATGGCTGATTATGTTACTCGATTGATATCGAAGAACAAAACCCAGAATCCTGATTTTTTTTTCGCAGATTGCAAAATTGAGGGGGAAAATCAAAACATGTTCGACACGTACCTTGATCTCCTAGATTCGGACGAAGCATGAAACGAGAGAATAGATTCGAAGGTCCCGAAAAGAAAAAAGCCAACAAAAAATAATATTACCCCAAAAAAAAAAAAAAAAAAAAAAAAAAAAAAAAAAAAAAAAAAATTACCCCAAAAAAAAAAAAAAAAAAAAAAAAAAAAACAGGAAGACGAAGAAACAGAAAATGTCGGGTTACCAGTAAAACTCGGAAAATGTGATCGTTAGTGGAGTTTGCAAAATTCCTTGATAAGAATATCCGCGAGAATTTCGCATGAAACACTCCATTTATACACACTCCTATATATACACACACACAGTCATGCATATGTACACGTAGACAATTATAAATATACCGCCCGAATATATAATGCGTTTAAAAGAATTGCGTTAAGACAACCTAAAAAAAACCCTCAAATTTACCATTTTCTGTTGAAAAAGCTTCTATTTTTATACCAGTGTGCACTAATCCTATATATACGGTTTGGAAATCTATTAGATGCAATTAGTTAGTTCCTCGAAACCATATCGTTATCCATCGTAGAATACTTTTGCATGGCTCCCGTCGATTAATTTGTATATCATGAAACATATAATGCAATGTAATCATACAAGATAAAGGAAATTTAGATATTTGAAAGGGAAATGTTATGATTTTTAATTTTTAATTTTTTGTCTTGGAGTGGTGAGTTTGGAGAAGAAGACCAATCAAAAGGTGAAGATGACGATGATGATGTGGAAGTCCCTTTCTTGTTTTCATCATCTCTTCTACTCCACTGCTAAAAAAAAATCTCGCGGTTTTGTTGTTGTGTTTGAAATTGATATCTCAACCTAAAGAACTTATAGAAGTCATATTATATGTCTTGTCTGCAAGCACATGCATATATACATACACACATACACACACACACACCAACTCCATCACTCTCCCATTAGCTTCTCCCTAAAATTCCATAGATTTGGAAGAAACCCGCATGTCCACAACTAAAACTAACATCCCCCACCCGCTCCCTAAACTTGTTCCAATTAATGATTCACATGTCATGATGATCATCCCATCTAACATCTTAGATACATCTCTCTCTCTCTCTCTCTCTCTCTGTAATTTAGAAAACCGAATCAACTAAGCAGATTTCGATTAGTGTGGTCCTTTGTGAGACAGAAAATGAAATTCTTAGCTCGAAGCAACTGCACTAAGTCGATCAATAGAAAGTGAGGTAAAGATGAAGGTTACACCTAATGCTACCAACTTACTTTGTATAGTAAGACAGAGGGGTTTCATTGAACAACCCGTCTTGCAAGTACCCATTCTTCACCTAACTGAAGACATAAAAAAAAAACCTCGTATTTCGGTTTACCCTTTAACCGAATCAACCAACACATAACCAATCAGGCATCTGGTTTGGTAACGTTGAGTCCAAACATGAAATGATTACTTGGGTTTTTTTTTTTTGGAGAATATATTACAGATATTTCTTACTGATTTTGTAAAGAATCTGTTACCCGAGTCAACAGCACATGCTTGTGTTGTCTATTATTCAAAGTGCAATAGAAAAATCTATAGAAATAATGCAATGCAAAACTGTGCTGCATTCTTTCAACTAGTATTACTCATCGTGGATCTAAGATTCTCATGTCGGATTTAAAGGCGAGATTATCGAAACTCAGCGAGGTAATAAAAACGAAATACCTTCTCTTTCTTGATGTGATTATAAGATTCTCTCTCTCTCTCTCTCTCTCTCTCCCTTAAACAATGGGAAACAAAAGAAAGATCACACAACACAGGAAGTGTCCGGGTTACAAAGAAAAACACATAATTTACCACAGAACATATGCCATTACCTCACTCTCTTGCTCTTCGTTGTTCACCTTCTTGCGTTAGCTAGTGTGCTCTTGATCTTGTCACTTGTTCTGACTCAAGAAGGATGAAGGCGAGAGATGAAGTCCGGTCCCAAACAGGAGGAGATCAGAAAGCCGCCCACCCAGATGCAGCTCCGGTGGCCTTGGTCTGACCCGATCCCATCGTCGCGGGAAGATTTTTCTGCAGGAAAACAGTGGAATGGGAAGGGATCTCAAAAGAAGAACTGGGATTTGAGAATAGAGATGAATGACTGAGACTTCTTGTTCGACAGCCCGGAAATTGAGCTTCGGCAATAATGTTTACCTTGAGCTGAGAAAAATCTGATAGAGGATCGTTTCCACGTCTTGTGTTATCTTTTGATTCCCTACAGCTATCAGATACCATTCTCGAAGCCACGGGATCATTTGGAGGCGGTGGCAAAGGTGAGCTGATTTTTGCAGCACTGCCCGGTGGTGGAGCAAGAGCTAGCGGCTTAGGCTTCCCGTTTCCTGAAAGAGCAGCTGAGAGCATCCCGGTTCCACTTGTCGGTTTGGGCTTCACATTGATTCTTATGGTTTCTCCTTCCTGAACATCAAAAGAATGTATCTCTTAGGTTGGTGACATCCAGTGCTAAAAGGTCAGTTTAAAGGGAGAAACACTTGCAATTCTCAAGTATGAAGACCGGGACACTCTTCTCATTATAGCAACTTGATATCATTTTCACCTTAAGATGGCAGGACAAAATTACTATCTCTTTCTCTCAGGAAATGAGGATGGAAGCTAAACCAAAGTCACTTGCGGGAAGCACATTCTTGGTTATGACGCAATTATGAAGATTGAATCCAGTGACAAGTGACAACGAAGAATCTTGTCTTTTCAGTAGGGGTGTCAAACGAGCCAGCTCGGATCATTTTGGGCTCGGCTCATTTGGCTCGGATCGTTTTGGGCTCAGCTCGTTAGGCTCGTTTTCTAACGAACCAGAAAAACCTCGGCTCAGATCGCTCGCCAGTTTTCCGATCTGAACGAGCCGGCTCGTTGAGCTAAGGATATATAATATTTTTTATTTATATTTATTTTAAATATAATTATAAATTTAAATAAATACATAAAATTTTAATAAAACACCAATATCATTTAATATTTTCAATCATCACAATCATAATAATTAGTATATTTATAATATCATATAAATAATATGAAAAAAATTAATATAAAATTATATTAGAGTTTTTTATATAAATTTAAATTAATTTTAAAAAAAATACCAGCTCGTTGAGCAGCTCGCCAGCTCGCCGAGCCAGACTCAATGAACACGTGTTCAATGAGCTCTGGCTCGTTAGGCTCGTTTTTTAACGAGCTGGAAAAATTACGGCTCAGATAGCTCATTTTCTGCCGAGCCACGAGCCAGCTCGCGAGCTGAGCTCGTTTTGACACCCCTACTTTTCAGAGATTAGGTTCCAAGAACAAGAATTGGGGGCAAAGGTATTGACCATTATGAACAAGAATCAAAAACATCAAAAGGAGAGGCACACTTCCAATTCTGAACCAACCATAAAAATCGATTCAAGTGTAACCAGGATAGGCCCCCTCACTCTAGCTGTGAGGTACTTACTGACTCCCTAGTTGAGAATCCGAGAAAGAAAAATGCTATCCATTATGAGTCTACTGACAAATTGACAATGGATGCTAAAACCGGATTTAGTTGAAGAATGCTTGTGAATGGAAGCATTTGCCTTGATCAGATCAAGACAGGGACATTCCTTCTTCGTGGCAACAAGATTTCACAACTGGATAGAACACTATAACAATTATGGGCCAGAAGTATGAGCTTTCTCATGCAGTCAACAAAGAAACTTTAAGCAGTACCATGATATCATCACTCTTTTAGTTTACGTTAAACCAAAGATGCATCCGGTGTCTCACTCTCAGTTCTGAGACTAATTTCAAAAACTGCACCCAAGAAGTTGTTCTAATTAATCATATATACTCAACAAGAACAAGCAAATTCTGCCTATATCCTAAAACATATTCGCGATTCCTAGAAAACTATTGATAAAAACAAGAGATCTACTTAAATGAGAGCTAAGCCACTGAATGCATGGATCGATTCCGTATCGAATTTGGCTGTTTGCTTTTCGAACAATTCGTAAGATCCATCAAAGCTTTCATTTCCGTTTTGACAGGGTATCAGATTACTCCACAATCTTATCCTAATTCCGAAAGCTTAGGAACATAACGGTTTACCTTCAGCCTGTGATTGACGGCAGGATGAATATCGATGTGATCGTCGCTCTCACTCGTCTCGCCAATCTCCTTCTCCTTCTCCCTCCTCAAGTACTTCTCGTGATCCGACAACGCGACATTGAAATCAAACGCCTCGTTCCTCTCCGTAAATCCTAGCCCGATGAACGCGTGCTTCCCACGCCCGTCCTCGATCCGGAGAACGAAGTACCTCGACGAGTCGAGACAGGGCTCGACGGAGTTCTCTCTCCGACCGGGATCGACGAAGCAAGCGGCGAAGAGATCGCCGGAGCTAGGATCCTCCAGTCGGATCTCGCAGCGATCCTTGCAGGAGACGACGCGGAGGCGACCGGACCAGATCTTGTCGGACTGGAGCCACTCGCCGCATTTGTAGCCGCCGGAGGTAGTCCGCGGCGGGATCTTGTAGAGGAAGACCTCTCGAACCACAAGGAGGGTGTGCTCGAAGGCCTCCTCCTCCTCCTCCTCGAACGACATCGTTACCGGTGAGAAGATCTCTCTGTGTCTGTCCTCGGGAGGTTGTAATATTCCCAGTCGCAGTGCAGAGACGTGCGGATTTGAAGATCGTGCTTTTGCAAATATATTTTTTTATATTTTTATTATTATTCTTTAAAGTTTTTTTTCAAAATGCATATTTATGGTATTAAAGTTTAGTAGGAACCATAAACGTCGTGGGTTGGACAAAGTCCATGAAACGTCGTGGACCAGACCGGCCCATTATGAAGTGACTAGTTAGGGTTTAGAACAAACTTTCGGGCTATTCTCAAAAGATGATGATGAGATGATGATGATGATGATGATGATGATGATGATGATGATGATGATGATGATGATGATGATGATGATGATGGGCCCAAAAATAATGCAATGTCCAATAATCCTATCAATTAAGGCCCAATTGCTGAATAAGGAGAAACAAAACGCGTCGTTTCGTTGCCAACCGCCTTATCTACAATTCCTTCCAAAGGACAACGGAAAGGTATTTAAGGACATTCTCTTCCTCTCTTATGCTTTGAGATTTTTTCCTCTAGGTCTATCTTTCACCGCGTAGTGGCCCTCAGAAGTGGAAACTTAACGCTCCGTGGTCATGGCGACGGCTTCAGGTCACTGTTTCTATTATTGCGTTCGTTGAGATTTCGGTTTGTTGCAGATCTACACGAATCGTTGTTCTCGGTCTGGTGGACGAGAAGCTCGGTTCTGATCTTTGAGATTAGTCTACTTACGGGTTTTTGTTAGGTTATTAGGGTTTTGGTGCTTCGAGATTAATAGTTCGCCGACTTCTGCTTGATTTGGTGGTGTCGTCTCCCATTAGTATTTTGGAGTTTCTGGTTTTTAGGGTTTGGTCCTGTTCGTTCGTCGATGGCTCGGTTCTTTTTCTCTGAAAATTTTCAGGATTTTATAATCTTAATAGCTTCGGATAATGGGTTTCTTGTTCTTCGTACGATGGGTGTCCTGGTGATATTATTTTGCTAAAAAATTAGCATCTTTAAAAGCCAACGATGATATCTGCTTCTTTTGTGTTAAGTTATGTGCTGATGGGGTTGGCTAATTTCTGTGACAAATTTTAGTTTTGCCCTTTGATTTTTGGTTTTCGATGATCTGATATTTGCGGACTCGGGGCATTTGCAGTTGCGTTTAAGTCGAGGGAAGATCATAGGAAGCAAATCGAATTAGAGGAAGGAGCCCGTAAAGCCGGGCTGGCCCCTGCCGAGGTGGATGAGGATGGAAAAGAGATCAATCCTCATATACTAACAGTATATGTCATCTGCTCCGTGGTATCTCAATTCAGAGAAACCGGTAAGCTAAACCCTCTTTTAGTGTTCTTTTGCTTCTCTGAATTAACACCCTGCAACTTGTGCACTGAAGACCTTTTTCTTTTGTTGGCATGACAGAGATTAAAACATCCAAGGAAATGGAAGAGTGATCCCAATTACACAGAGTCGTGATATGGCAGAGGTGCAAAGATTTTTCAAGCGGACAAATACAGGAAGGGGGCATGTCAAAAGTATGATTTCTTCTTCTTTGTCTGTATCGGTTTGTTTCTCTATGAACCCATGTCTTGTTCTATTTGTGGAATATGGCATCCTAGGCGTAACTAGCCCTACTGTTTATCCTTTTTTGTTCCTTTGAATGGATTACATCCATTTTGCAGTTAAATTTCTCATCACTAACCAGAGAATGTACGCAAGTGCCTTCTTCATTTTTAACCATTTTCTAATTTACCCCCTTATCTTCGCTTAAGCTGTAGTGCAATGATCCATTTCACAAAAGCATGCATGGAAAGATCTCGTAAGATCGGAGCAAAGTGGACATACAAAAGCATCGCACCTGATGAGAATATTAGGACTTTTGAACTTGACTATGATGGCAAAAGAGGCAGATGGAACGGGCCTATGACCCTTCAACCTACCATCGTGTGATGGAGCTCTATGAAGCCGAGGAGGAAGCTCGGAGGAAGTATCTGAAGGAACAGCAGCTTAAGAAATTAGAGGAGAAGAACAATAACCAAAGCAACGACGACCCAACCAGTGATGGGGATGAAGAAGATGATGACCTCAGTTTCGTTTATCAAAAGTATCTTTTTCTCATAATGGAGATTGTTTTCGGTTATCAGAGGGCACCAAGAAGTTGAGGAGAAGAAAACCGCAACATGGGGAACCGATATTCCCGAAGATTTGGAATTGGACGAGGAGCTTCTTGCCAAAGCATTTAAGAAGGTATAATATGTATTATACATATCTTTTCCCAAATGTTTTCATCTTCTAACAAAGGTGACTGATCGTTGGTGGGTGCCTGGTTCAGGAGGATGAACGAAGAAGGGAAGAAAGGGATGTGAGGAAACGAAAGTACAATGTGAAGTGGAACGACGAGGTAATTTATCTGTTAATATCTCAAAAGGTTTGGTACGATAATTATAAGACTATATTTGTTTACGGTTTTACATTTGCAGGTGACTCGAGAGGATATGGAAGCTTACAGAATGAAGAGAGTTCACCACGAGGATCCAATGAAAGATTTCCTCTGCTAAAACTCTGAAAGCTGTTTTATATGCACCATAGATCTTGCATGGTTGTCCGCAGAATGAAAATGGGTAAAGTGATTTAATTAAGAACAACTCATTTTATTGAAAGAAAGTTACAGGGTCACATTTTACATGTGTTATTATTATTACAACTGTACTTAACAGTGGATTCAAGCGTCGGATCTCCTCCCGGACTGACCGCTGCTGTGAGTTAACGTAGTCTCGAGGGTGTTGAACTTAACCCTCCTCGCCTCCTCGACCGATATCTGGAACCCATTGGTCAGAACCTCGAGCGGGAGGCCTCTCAGCACTGACGTTCGGCCGGCAAGAGTGTTGATCTTTGCGTTGTCGTTGGTCTTGAAAGAAATCCACTCAAATCGCTCGCTCTGTGCCGTCTTCGCGACCGCGAAACCCTGAGGGATGGCCAGGAGTTGGCCCTTCGAGATCTGCTGGTCGAACACTCTGTTTCCGTTGTCGTTCACAACCTGGACGTGGGCTTGCCCGTTCGTCACGTACAGAATCTCGTTCGCGTTCACGTTCCAGTGAGGCAACACCATGGCGTCCTACATGCACCAGAAAAAGATAAAAAGAATAAAATTCAGATAAGTGTATGACATATGGATCTAACACGAACAAATTTTGTTTTTTTTTTTTTGGGTACTGACGTTGCGGAGGGAGCCACGCAAGGCGCTGAGGCGGAGGAAACGAAGCATGGGGAGGGTGTAGCTGTTGAGGGTGCTGATGTAACCGAGCTGAGGCTTGTACACGTCAGCACGAGACGGGTCGTCGAGGTTGTCGGTGCACCTCATCGTACAGAACGTCTCCTCCAGACCATTGTCCTGTTCTTGTCTCTGTTCTCCTCTGACGGGCGGCCTGATGACTCCGAACGGGCCCTGAACCCGGACGATGTTGCCGCGGTTGTCTTTCTGGTTCTGAAGCTGTTGAGCTGTATTCAATTTGATCTTGAAGGCTTGGGCCAATACTTGCGGGTCGAATCCGCTGAACATGTTGTTCTGCGGTTCCTGTTGGCTCTTTCGTAGCCACACTTGCCCTTGTGGGTTGTTTCCCGCCAAGTGGAACGCCTGTCAATGTACACACATATGCAGATTAAGCAGATGTATGTATACATACATATATATATGTCTATATAATCTAGGAGGTTATATATACCCTGGGGTTGCGGTCGAGCTGGTTCTGGTTGTTGCCGATGTCGAAGACGGAGACGATGATGAGTGGCTCGTTGCCGTTGTTGTGGATCCACTGGGATATACCGGCCGGGTTGGCGATGGTGTCTCCTCTCCGGAGATGCTCCACTTTCTGGTGCATGTCCCGGAAGCCCTGGCCCTGCCATTGGCCTCCGGCCGAGTCCATGAACGTCTCGGCGCATCCAGGGATCACTCTTCCCATTAGGCCCCTTCCTGTTTTGAACAAAAAGGGCGATTCACTCAATCTGATTATAACGTATCAAATTTACATACACGAAAGTGAGTACAACACTGACCGTTGACGACGAAAGAGAGCTTAGGGGCGTTGAAGTAGGTGGGCAGGTAGAGGCCTTGAGGCTCGATGACGATGCGATCGAAGGAGACGCCCGAGCATCTGAGCTGAGGTGCGTGGTGGTCCCATATCTCAATGCGACCGGCCTCGCACTTCAACACGTGCGATGGCTCGAGGACGTTGAGCTGGTCGAGCTGGCACTCGTTCCCCCACTGTCCCTGCCATTGCTTCTGTTGGTTCGTCTCCTCCTCCATGGCTCTGTATCCATGGACGAGGAGGAGAAGCGTTATGGCGATGCTGAGAAGAGAAGAGCTTTTACCCATCTCTCTTTTTTTTTTCTTGATTATATTTCTTTTGGGTTGTGGGGGTCTGTTTTCGATTTGCATGCAGGAGTGGGGTTTATATAGGCGGAGAGTCTGTGCGTATAGATTATCTTCTATTTTTTAAACCCATATGTTATCTCTGTTAAACATTCGATAATCTGTGTTACATCTTTGTCATATATGATTGTATATAATATAATTGTAGTATAGGATTAATAGATATAGTTTTCTTTAATAAATAGAGTACGTAGAGGTTTGGTTATTGGTTAAGATTTAAGATTTTATGGTTTTGAGATGATTAAAGATTGGGTCGTTGGTATTATCGATGTAAAATGTTAAGTTGATGTTACTTAAATTAAAATTACTTTAAAAACAAATACATGGGTCGATGATATTGTAGAAATGATAAGAGATAATATAAAATATGAATTGGGCACATAAAATCGACCATGTACACTTCACTAGACAAACATATGATAAAAGTGGACACATTTCGGTTTGCATGGCTTCTTGACGTTCATGTTCTTACACATCATCTTTAAGATAGGCACATACCCAACCGCAGAACCAAACAACACGCACAAAGCGACAAAACTCGCCAATTGTATTTAATTACCCGTTGAATGGTTAGGGTTACGTGGAATTACAAACAAAAACCGTATGCTTTTTACATAATCGACGTGGTTATAGCTAAATCTTATTATAAGATATATATATATATATAGGAATATTTATTTGCTTAGATTAATTAGCGGCTTATTATGGTTTTGGATTTTTTTTTGGATAAAAATTATGGTTTTGGATTTGGACTATTTTGTTTGATAAAATGAAGTGGGCTTTCGTATAAATTTATAACGATCCTTTTGTTATTTGTACACAAATTCAAGAGTCCTCATCAATCCAAATATCCAATCCAATACTATTTTATAGGGATTGGCATAATATCCGAAAAAACCGAACCGATCCATACTAATTAATAATATTATTAAATATAAAAATAATTTGTTATAAAAATTTAAAATGCTTTATACTTATATGTATATTTAAGAAATATTTTGTATATATTGAGATTTAAAATATTTAACCTTTTAAATATTAAAATTTATTATGTTTAATTTTTGAATTTTGAACTTTCAATATATTTGTATATAATATATTATGATTATATTTGTAATTGAATTGATTTAAAATATTTAAATTATAAATTTTAAATTGTGAATAACATTTATATTAAATAACTTATATATTTTCTTTTATATTTAAAATTGTTATTTAAATTTGAATTTAATTTTTATAATTTTTATTTCGGATACGGATATTCGTAAATATCCGAAATTTCGGATATCCGTAAATTATAGATCGGATACGGATAATAAAATCGAGTATTTGTGCGGATCAGATACGGATACGGATATCTCAAAAATCACGGATATCCGATCCGTGCCCATCCAAGTATTTTATATTAAGCCTTAGGTTTCTTTTATTGATGATCACATCATTGTTGATCTTACATATAATATAGATGCGACATCGTTTCAATCTATATATATTCCAGAGAACCATGGATATCACTGTATACAAGAAATACATCGCACGCTGTATACTATAATCCACGTGCAGGAAAAGAAATACAGTCTTTTATATATATATATATATATATATTATAAAAACAATCACCTATTGGACCTAGATTTTACTTGACAGTCATGACACTTCTATAGATGGGCCGAATCTCGGCCCATTATAAGCATTTTTGTAAGGTAATGCTATTTACAAGGATTTTAGTTGGCAGTCATGATACTTCTATAAATGGGCCGAGCCGACTAAACCCCTTGTGGTGTCTGCTAAAGCTCTAGCTTCCTCTGATCCCGGTATTTCCTTGAACCCGAACCTCGCCGGCGATCGAGAGCTGCATTTTACGACCACGGGTGCGTTTATCTCTCCATCGCCACCATTTCCTTTTCCCATTTTATTTTATTCTACCGTGTTTAGGCGTTTTCATGATTTATCAGGGGAAAACGATGAATTTAGGGCTTTGTGAGGATGCTTGTATGTCTATTTTTATCATCCCTTTCAGTAATTTTGAGGTGATCCGGTCGAGTGGAAATTAGGGTTTTTTCGCTTGAATTCCTGTGTTGTTTGCTTGTATAATGTTCGTGCGTCGATTACGTGTACTGTGGGAACTATTCCCTAGACAACGATCTACTGTTGGTGAATTTGATCGTATTCTATTTTGTCAATTAGCGTAATGATCACGCTCGGTTCAATTGAAGAGCAATGGCGTTGAACGTATCTGTTCATCTTTTTTTATTATTACATTCCGTTTCCCTAATAATGATTTGCAGTCTATTTGTAATCGGAATTTGTGACCATTTAATGGCCTTCTTAGCCGTTGTTTCAAGTGATGCTGGAGCTTTATTCATTGTTCTGGATAATCAGAAAATGGGTTTTCCGTTCATATGCTACCAATCCATTCAACTCCAGAAGCGTTGTTATCTGATCTCTCTTAAGTGGAGTTTCTACCTATTAAGGCCTTGTTCTTAGCTGTTCTGGGTTAGTTACGGCGCTTTGTTCAGTCTTTTGGATCATAAGCGATTGAGTCCTTTTTCTTTTTCATCCACTGAAAATGTATTCAATTCGAGAAGCATTGCCTTACTATCTTTTCTCTGTTGTTCTTTTGAGTAATGCCTGTGCTGCTCATTGACTTCATTCCTTTTTGCTCGTAGCAAAATGAATTTCAACAAAGTTCCAAATGTTCCCGGATCTCCTGCCCTCTCTGCCCTACTTAAGGTCAGCATTATCGGTGGTGGGCTCGGTGTCTGTGGGGTTGCTAACAGTCTACAATGTTGAAGGAGGGCACCGTGCTATCATGTTTAACCGGTTAACTGGGATTAAGGACAAGGTGTGTATTGCTTAAGAGTTCCCCCGCATGTGATTGTGCAGTGATTTTGAAGTATGATTATATTTCTCGGATTTTTTTCCAGGTCTATCCTGAGGGCACACATTTTATGGTGCAGAGGTGAGAACTGCTGGATGTCCCTTTGGGAAAACCCGATGCATTTATAACCCAAATGGTCGATTCAATGTAGAATCATCTAAGATTAGCGTCTTACAATGATAGGAAAAGAAAAGTTTTGATCTTGAGATTAGAACTGATAACGGGTTTTGCGGTTTTGACATGAACGAATCCGTAAGAAACAGTCAAAGTATATTATGTTTTAAACAGGGAGAAGCCAAGAGTGCTCAACCCATTGGACAAGCTATTGCGAACAATGCGGCCTTCATCACCCTGAGGAAGATCGAAGCAGCGAGAGAGATAGCCCATACCATCTCCATCCCTGCCAACAAGGCTTACTTGCACTCTGCAGATCTTTTGCTCAACGTCCAAGGAATGAACTCCGAGACTAACCCCACCAAGACATAGTAAGTTACCCCTTCTCGTTTTCATTGCCTTTTGTGAAGTCTAGAAATGACCGTTCTGCCCTTCTCATTCTGCCCCTCTGTTTAGCGAATTTGCATTGAAGAGAGGAAGTATATTATCATTTAGCATAGAGAAGCTCCTCAGTGTTTGGTCCATTATTACATATGATTTTGTCTTTCACGCGCCACATAATATTAAATTACTGCGAAGTTGACGGAATCTAGGAATTGGTCTGGTTCGGTTTGAGTCCCAAATTTTAATTTCAAACCCAAACCGATTGGTTTCATTCGGTTCACATTAGACCGGGCTGAAGCCATTTATATAAACCTAACGGGCTTGTAACTGTCGGCCCAGTATATTATGTGTCTAAAGCCCGCCAGCCTCGTCCACTTGTACGGACGTGTGTTTTTTTTTTTTTTACCGTTATAGTTTAAATTAAAAGATGAGTAGAAAAGATCACCGAAATTAACTATATGTGTATGCACGCGTATGTATATGGATAAGATAATCAATCATCCAATCCTAATAAATTAAGTATTAAAAATGATTAAACCTTTTTATAAAAGAAAATATATAAGTGCGTTGTTTAACTAAAATATCGATAAGACCAACCTGCAATCATGAAGCCAATAATATTTTGTCAAGGATATGATATTGGAAAGGAGGCCACTTTTAAGTAATAATCATAAACTTTTTATGCTTTTTCATTCCAGATTTTGTTTCAATGAAAGATTATAGACCTAGGTGGGCCTCTATTTGACCGTTTGGTAGCAATTTTCGTATTCTAACTTGTCATTTTCTCCTTATACGCACATACACATATGTGCGTGTATGTATATATGTGTGCATCATATACTCTCTTCCACATGTATATTCGGTTTTAATGATTTAACAATACCATATTTCTCAACAATAAAACAAAATTAAAAGGTCTTATTATGCTTGGATTTTCGAGAATTCTTGCTTTAGCTCTTTCATATTGTGGTATATGTGGTCTCCTCTTCTATTTCTAATTCACATGAGTCACGCCCGAACGGTCTGCGGATATATATATATAAATTTGTATCGATTCTTAATCAGAATATGTAAGAAATCGCATTTTTGAAAGAAAAAAAAGAGTCATTTTTTACAAATGTATATGTACATGAGACATACACAAAACCAACATGGAACATATATATGCATGGCTATGGGGTTTATAATGGTGATATATATATATATATATATATGTATAGATTACTTGACGGGATAATGACTCTTTCGGTTAATTTAAGACCACTTGATCATATGTTTAGGTATTACACTCTCTCTCAATTAGCACTAATGGATAGTCTCCATCAACTTTGAGGAAAAGGTTGGGGGAGTGTGACTTTAGCTTTTACTTTTACGACCCATCAAAGAGAATCTTATACGGCCTTTTTCTTCAAATGTAATTTGCATGGAAAAGTTATACCAACTTATAATTCAACCGGCTAAACTATATATATGGTTACAATTATAACATTTTTTGCTTAGATTGTAGTTCCCATTTATTTCTATTGATAATTTGGACATCAAATAATGAATTCTCCAATAAGCCAACTCGTACACATTTCAATTTTCATGATTCCAAACGGTCCGAAATATATGATGTACACTGTTTTATTTCATCATCTATATAAAACTATGTATCATTGCCTGTAATTTACATTCCACAAAAAAAAACTATGTACTGAGTTTATGTCGTGAATATTTTAGTAAGTTAAATATACAAAAACGGCTTAATAAGATGCTTATTATAGAAAGAAAAAAAACAGAGAGGATATTGATTTGTGGATTTAATGGAACTATATATATGCAAATCCTTGGTACCATGATCCCTCGATAATGGGAAATATAATGAATTAGCGCATTATTTTTCTAGGATATTTTGTAAAGTATTTAAATACAAAGCTGTGTTTTAGCATATTATATAGCTAGGAAAAATAATCAAATTCCCCTATAATCATAAAAAAAAGGCCAAAAAGAAAGCGAAACAATTTTGTTAGTGATAAAATGTCAAAATCAATTTGACCGAATTCGAGGGTGGAACGTATTGTTGGTCAGTCCGAGTAAAAACAATGAGGCCATTACCATCCACTAAGTGACATATGCATACTTTAGGTCTAATCATATCTCCATGATGTCGTTATTTCTATTTTTATTTTTCGACAGGTTTCCATGTCGTGGATCCCTCCTTTTGTCTTCTTTGAAACGTCGTTTCTTGCATGCCCTCTCGTACCCGCACAACATTTGTGTACGCATTTATCCACCATGGCATATATGTATATACGTATATGTATTTATATTAGAATATCCTATAATATATCTTCTTTTAGTTTTAAGGTTTGCCTTTATCTATATAATCCATTATACAAATCATTCAATAACCATAATTTCTCAAGTTATCTATATATATATATATATCGCGTTGGTGATTATGCAAATGTCTGCACGAGTTATTTCATTAAGCGATAACAAGAAAACTTTTTTTAAAAAATCTCAAAAACAAGTATATGTACACATACACATGCGTATGTTAACATTCATAATCAAATTAGGTGTTCGATACTCCGTAGATTTTTTATCTTTTCATAATAAACTACGGTTCGACCACACGCACATACTCGTGATACGGTCGAATCTTAATTTTATACCCAACTAAGAAAATATCTCGTCGAATTTCATTTGAAAAAAAACAAACATCGAGAAGAACCTTATATCAGTTATTACATGCATTCCCTAAAGTCGATTAAGATTTCTACGTATCTTTTTTATTTTTATTTCTTTTTTCAAAACATATCGAATCACGTTTAAAAATGGAAGTAGCCCGTCGTGATTTTGACACGTCAGTTTTGCAGAATTTCATTTGAAAAAAAAAGTTCGATCCAACGATATTAAATCCAAGGGATGATAAAACATATACCATAATATTTATATATATATATATATAATGCATGTATGCATATGCGTATTGGAAACAAAGTATATATTCTTCTACCTTTTAGTGAACCGAAAGCATGTGGTATATCTGTAATGTACCATCTAGATCCACATCTGACTCGCTTTAGAGATACTATTTTCTCTTTATTTGCATTTCACAAAAAATAAAATAAAAGAGGACGTACCAAAAACAAATTTAGATATAAAAAGCAGGGCGTGAAAACTATATATGCCATATATATGTATTCCGTTTTTTTTGTATTTTAAAAAAGTTCACAATAAAGAAAATGGTAGAAATGAAGATAAAAATGCTGAAATATTTACTACAAATATTTAAGAATAATAAATAAATATATAAATATTTAAAGTCGAAGTTTTTTCGTCGTTTTGTAAACATTTTCCAACGGGTTGCGTTATAAATTTATCATATTAAAAAGGCAAATTTGTCATTTGGTCAAGTAACTTCACCGGAAAACTAATCGCCTACATTTGTGGATACCGGTGCAATGCACACAGACCAAACACATGTACGAGTGTGTCTTAATGCCCGTGCTCGTGTCTAGGAATCTTGATCATATATTAAAAGGGAAAAAAATATGGAATATATATATATATATATAAGTTCTCGAAAATCGGAGGAGAATATTCTGGTGCCGCCAAAGTTCAAGAGGAAAAATCCAAAAATCAAATTAATAAACAATGATTATATCGAGAAGAAAGAATAAAAGGTTAAAAACATGATTACATTATGATTAAAGTGTTAATCACAAAAAAAAATTGCTAATTAAGTCAGCCCACAAGTTGACGGCCTCCCTCTCGTCTATCTTAATTAATTACCTTTAGTTTTTTTTTCACTTTAAAGCTCGTGGGAAGGAGAAATTAATTAATGTTAATTTGAGCTAATTTATTTTTGTCCTACATATATACTAAAACTTGCATATGCCATTGTAATGGTTACATATATTACCCTCATTCAAGTCCTTCAAATCATTTATCAGATTTGATAGATATTACTATTTTATTATGAATATGTACCGTATTAAATCAACCCATAAAACCCATATGATATTAAAACGGTAAATACTAAGCTTCAATTTTTTATTCATAACCCATAAGCATAAGCAAACAATATATCTTCGGCATGAAGTTTATATATGTATATATATTCTCGAAAAAAAACTTTGTTAAAGAACAAAAGGAAAAAGTAAACGTGGAAAAAGAACATTATAGAAAGCATGAAAAAGATACTCGTATCTACCATTCAAAAGAAATTACCAAACTTTCTTCTCGACTTCACAAACCACATATTAATTTACATGAACATTTTTTTTCGTATATGATATCTCTCTTACCACATTAATACAAAATGCTAATTAATTTATTAGGGACCATTAGGTTACAATAAAACCTCAAAAAGTGTCCAAACTCACTAAATAAAATTTGTACAATGATATCTCAGAATAGATGACTCAACATGTAAGGAATGAAACAAATCATTTTCAACCGGGTCCCAACCTTCATTTAGTGAGAGATATTCATATGAATTTTTTCGATCTTTTGAATGATATAGTCGAATCAAATTTTCGGTGAATTTTTAGATTATAAAAAAAAATCTGTACAATAACTGTATATGTCATAACAGACATAAAATTTAGATGAAAACATGCAATTTTCAGGTGGGGTATTATTCCAAGCGAGAGCTATACAGTTTATGTCTGAACGGTTTCGCAGTCGAACGGACGATTATTCTCTTTTGCAAGTTTTGGCTTTATTTTGTCGTACGTTGTTGGATTTTACCTTAGACAACGTGCATGGGTACACGTGCATGGCAGATTTTGTACGACAAACGAGAGATTTAACCACGACGTTTACACCTTTGACCCAAAAAAAAACACAGTTTTAACTAACCGATAGAAATATAGTATCGACAGTAACACATACATACATATATATATACACTTATGTATGTAACCAATCACTTGTGAATTGGGCAAAGTCTTGGCCGGGATAGACTGTGTGAATTTACCTTTAGTTCCTTCCACCAATAGAAATTCTATAGATTAGAGACACACATATATGTGCGTGTGTGAATATATATATATATATATATATATATATATATATATATATATATATATATGTGTGTGTGTGTGTGTGTGTGTGTGTGTGTGTTGTACAATTTAGAGTTCAACCCATTTATATTGTAATTGTCAAGCACGTGATTTGTGGGAGAAATGTAGCATAGAAAATATTCCATTAGCAATTATTGACACGAACAAATTGTTCGTATACATCACGAATTAATTATATATTCACGTAATAATTTGGTTAATAAATAATATGTGCATGGATAGTAATAGAGAAACGAATAGCTCATGTATATTTCCTAATAAATTTTTTTTAAAAAAATAAGCGCTGTATATATTAATGCAAGCATAATTTGTTGTTAACAATAAATATTTGAATATATTACCAATATTTTTTAAATTTTTTTAACATATTCTAAACATACGGAAAAGAATAAAGATCGTATATAAACTGAAGTAATTAACAAAGTTATCCTGAATTTTATTAAATGTAAAATCCATTTTTATTCATCCAATTTCCATAATTTTATTCTTCGAGATTCAGTTTATTCCAAGATCTCTCATTCGACTACTCATCATAATTAAAAAATAATATTGAAAAAAGAGAAAAAAAAAAAGCAAAACAAATAATGGGATAATCATTCCAAATAGAAAAGGCGTACAGGTTAGCTTTCCTCCTACCCTCACCGTATGTATCATCATGCGCACCACCACATCAACATTCAGATGCTAAAGGAACACTGATTTTTTGACAACACACACATACACAGCATATATATATACGGATATATATACATACACACAAATAATGGGCCGGATAATCACTTATACATATTTATTTGTCAAATATATCGGAGAGATGAGTGATTTCTGTGTATGTCATAGTTTAAAACATTACATTTACATGCCTTTACCGTATTTTAAATATTCTTTTTTTTATTTGATGCAATTTTTGCCTCATATTTTCGAAATTCGATATTCATTATCATGCAACCATTGTTATTTTCCACAAATACCATATATATTCCTTGAGATAAATTGTTTTGTTTGTTATAATTAATACTGGAAATTAATATATACATATATAATAAAAATATAATACGTGCAAAAAGATTGAAGCATATGTACATAATACGACATTTTAATGTTTTGGGTCCATGAATATAACAAAAGAAAAATCATGTATGTAATAATTGTTTTGCTCAGATCTCATCATAAATTTGTCAAAATAAATAATTCCGAATTTCACTATAACAAGCTAAAAGCATTATTATAAATATAGTGTGTGTTTTCTTTCTGGCGTTGGATATTAATATGTTTTTGGGGCATGCTAATGTCTTCTTTAATATTTTAATTTTTGGCACTGCTGCTGTCTCTGTCACCTTGTAATTTTTCCACCGCCATCTACTTTTCCCTGTCACGGAAATGGAAAAAAAATAACAGAAAAAACATAACCATTTTATTTTAATTAATAAGGCTTCAACAGTTTAACAGATCAAGGTACTTATATATACATATATCATATATACGAATATATATATGTATAGAGAGAGAGAGAGAGAGTTCTTTCATAAATGAGCTTTATATATATGTATAAGTGGACAACCAGTATATCTTGTCTTTGTGGTTTACCTCTCACAGTTACCTCAGATTCTTTTGTCACTTTGTCTGATTTAAATATATAGTCTCTCTCTCTCTCTTCCAAGAAAATACTCTCAGCGAACTCAAAGAGGCAAGAGCAGGAAGAAGAAGGAAGAAGACATGACAGCCGAGGAGACAATCTCTTACGGAGTTGTTCAGAGCTCGTCATCAACCCTTGACCATGAACCCACTAATACTCCTGCTGTCAAGAAGAAGAGAAACCTCCCCGGCAATCCAGGTCAATCTTAAAGATCACAGAAACCCTAATTTTTTTTCTTCTAAATCATTAATTAATTTCGTCCTCTCTTTTTGAAATGTTTGTTTGATGGTTGTAAGTTTGTTCTAGATCCTGATCTGCACCTCTATATCCATGATACGTACGAGAAGTTATATTCATTTGCATGAACGAATCAAAGATAAACCTAGCTAGAAGCTGTAGATTAATTCATTATTAATTAATTAAATTCCCTTTTTTTTTTCAAGTTCTTGGTATGAGAATACTTACATGCCCTCTATGTGGAAAACCTTTACAAGGCCATCAACCACAAAAAAAAAAAAAAAAAATTGATCCTGATCCTTTATTTCTTTGTACTTTGACTAATACAAGACCAATCCTTCTCCATCTCAGACAAAAGATTCCCATGCGTAGACAGAACCTATAACTATTACCTTGCAAATCCATTTAGCGTTTCAGATCAAGCTTTTCATTCTGTGTAGATCCCGAAGCAGAGGTCATAGCCTTGTCACCGAAGACATTAATGGCGACAAACCGATTCCTATGCGAAATCTGTGGCAAAGGTTTCCAGAGGGACCAGAACCTGCAACTCCACCGACGAGGACACAACCTCCCATGGAAGCTGAAGCAGAGAACGACCAAAGAGGTGAGGAAACGCGTTTACGTTTGCCCGGAGAAGACATGCGTTCACAACCACCCGTCGAGGGCGCTGGGAGACCTGACCGGCATCAAGAAACACTTTTGTCGGAAACATGGCGAGAAGAAGTGGAAGTGCGACAAGTGCTCCAAGAGGTACGCCGTCCAGTCTGATTGGAAGGCTCATTCCAAGACTTGCGGGACTAGAGAGTATAGATGCAACTGCGGTACCATATTTTCCAGGTATATTTGTCAATTTATATATATATATATATATATATATATGTGTGTGTGTGTGTTTTCTGATCCGTTTTATATATGTAAGTATGTCCATTTGGTGAGATTTTTTGTTGTTTTCTTCAAGGTAGGTAGTTTTTATATATAGCTTTTATAGTGCCTATGGCTTTTTTTTTGTTCGTTTTCTTGAAGGTGTGTAGCTTTTTAATTTTTTTTTTTTTGTGGGAGCCTATGATTGGAGCACAAAAAATTTCAAGTGATCAAATATAGATATATAGTATTGTATATATATGATCAGTTTGATATGAGGCGTCTCATTTTGTTAGTTTTCATGGAATTCTGATTCGTTGGTCTGTGGGTGAATGGACGGTTGAAAGCGAAATTATGTGCTGATAGATCAAGCTGTATATCGTCTGACATTGACTTCGTTTTATCAATGTGTTATTGGACGAAACAGGAGAGACAGTTTCATCACTCACAGGGCGTTTTGCGATGCCTTAGCCGAAGAAACAGCGCGTCTAAACGCAGCCTCCCATCTCAACAGCCTAACCGCCGCCGCAGAGGCAACCGCCGGAAATCTCAACTACCAATACCTCATGGGCAGACTTTCTCCACCGCCACCGCCGTTCGGACCCCCGCACCCGACAATCACAATTACCTCAATGTCTCAACACCACTTCCCAGCGTCACTCTCCCTCTGGATGGGATCCCATCACCAAGACTTCGACGACCGTAACCAAATGCCGCCGCCGCTTCAGCCACCGGACCACGACTGGGTTTTCGGCACCGCAAACGCGAAATCTTGTGCGAGTACAAATCACGACGGGTTCACAACGATGAATGGTAACATCTCGAGCGGTAACGATCATAAAAGCGCGAGCCTTTTCGTTCCATCTTTATTCAGCGACCAAACCCAAGCCGCAGACGCAACTATCTCGGCCGCGAATATGTCGGCGACAGCGTTACTTCAGAAAGCGGCTCAGATCGGCGCGACATCGACAGACCCATCAGCCTTTCTCCACAGCTTCGCGTTAAAAACCACCGACCAAATTACGAATCATCAAAATGGTGAAGATGGTGGCGAAAAGTTCTTCGCTTTGTTCGGATCTAACAACGTGGGCATGGGTAACCTCGGAGGCGATCATGAAGTTGGAAACCCTAGAAATGGCGGCGTTACGGTTTCTGCGTTGGAGGAATCGCAGATATACCCCTGGAAACGTAGGAGATTGCAAAACGGGGAGATCACCGTAGGAGGGCAAACCCGGGATTTCCTCGGGGTCGGTGTTCAATCGATGTGCCATCCATCGTCTATCAACGGATGGATGTGATGATGTAATATATATATCATGCGGCCAAGCTTTTGGCAAAGAATAAAAAGAACAGTGAAACAATCTGGTTTTACGATTACAAAATATATCAAGTTTTCTTTCTTCGACCAATCCAAGTCCTGTATTCATCCAGCCCTCTACGTGGATCGTGTAAATATATAGAAGGCCTGGGATTTGATTTCCATTAAATACAGATAATTTAAACAATCATATCCCCTGGGCTTGATATTTGTTACACAATAGTTTCATTAATTATTTAAATATTACAACAATTCTTAATTTATAGAGAAAATGAGTTTTACGACATGGGAGTAGTGATAGAATGGTGAAATAAAGCACGCATGGGCGAATAAACTATTGAAAGAAGGGTCGTGGAAGGGAAAGTGGAGATCCATGCATATTCTCTTGGTAACGCTAGAAAGGGCTTCCATCTTCACATACAAAGCAAACACACGTGTGTGCATATATACATACACACGTGTGTGCATATATATACATACACACACACACGCGACTGTAATGCATAATGTAAGGTGAAGAAGTGGTGGGGACTAGGAAAGGTAGTGGCTTTTGAGCTGAATAATTAAAATTATAGACAGAAGAGGCGTTTAAAGTAGAGGAAAAGAATATATATTCTTAGCATAGGCTTTTCTTCCTTTTGGTGTTCCTTTTAATACTCAAAAGAAAAAAATCATTTGATTCATCTCTGCCGTTATAGTTATTGAAATCGGGTGCTGATAGTTTTATCCAATGATGACTATATATATATATATAGAGTCCAATTAACTAACACGTACGTTATATGATAGTATATCTATCAAAACTTATGAACATAAATTTAAAATCTTCCACGACAGATAACTTCGAGGATGTTTTATCAAACATAAAACATGAAATAGTACGAACAATAAAAAAAGATAGATTTTTTTTTTCAACAAAGCAAAAGAAACGAAAATGGAAAAAGGGGAAAAAGAAGGAAGAAACCATTTTATGACCTTTAGCATGTCAGGATGACTACGTGAGTGAGTGGCGATGCCTGTCTTTGAAACCAAAGCAACAAAGATCTCTCTCTCTCTCTCTCTATCTCTCTCTCTCTATATATGCGTAATTTCGTCGACTATTCGAGACAAAAGATAAACACCAAACACCAAACTTTAGCTTTTGGAAAAATCATTGTCCTTGTATAAACATATAAGAGTGTGTATATATATATATATATATATAGTTCATGAACAAGAATGATATGATTGTATGGACAAAGAAAAAGGTTTACATTTGGACGTAGACATGTCATCAACATCAACGGTCAAACTGATATTGTAGAAGAAGTGAAAACGTGTTCTACGAATTATTTTATCGTTTCGATTTCTTAGAACACTCTAATTACTCCTCCTCCCACTCTCGAATGTAAACGTACGTGCGTGCATGCATGCATGCACAATGATAATAGAAATAGGTCGAAATTTTCTTCTTCGTGGCATACTAATTTTTGTTATATAGGGAAGGTAACTTCTCGAGATGTGAAAACACATTTGTTAGTTTACATTACATTGTAGTCAAGATTTCAAAATTGTTCTAAAAGACTAAAACGCATTACTTGTTACAATCGTGAGGTTTTTTTTTTCCCTCTCGTATTTTAAATTAATCTGGATAAAAATATAATATTTGCGTTGAATTTGAGTTCTTTACTAACGAGCGAGAATTTTATTTTACCATAAATACGAGGATTTAGACGCTGAATTTCAATAAAATAGTAAAAAATAAGACGAAATAAAGGGATCAAAATCGTTTTCATCCAATGGGCTTTAAAAAAGCCCATTAATCTTAACAAAACCCAATTTCCACGCGAAACTATATTCTTAAAATCTAAAATAAAAGGGGATATCGCCATAAAAACCCTGTACTTTTCCCAGGTCAACGAAAAAACCCTGTACTTTTTTGCTTACCAATTAAACCCTATACTTGGTATGATTAACCAATAAAACCCCAAACTTGTTAATAATTCACCGAAAATCCCCCGCGACTGCCAACTCAAAAAAAATGATGATGTGACAATGACTTAGCTTCCAAGTTATGTACACATCATCAAAATTATGACACATCATCATTTCAAACAAAAATAAATTACATAATTTATTTAAATTAATTTATATACATATAAATTCACATATATATATTACATATAAAATTACTTATAACTAATAAAACATACATATATATATATATATATATATTATAAATTACATTAAAAATAATATATATATATATATATATATATATTATTTTTTAAT